AACTGGACCAGATGTGAACATCGGGGGTGGGTTTCAGAAGGTGTTCCGACGAAGTTGGTTGATATGGTGGGCTGCCCCAGGAGGATATTTGGGTGACTGATAGGGATGGTGGAGGTACCCCCTGACCTTGGAAAAAGCTCGGGAAATCCTGGGATAGCACTTGGAGGTTCTTTCCCATTTGTCTAAGCATCCCACATCTCCATAACTCGGAGTCGAAGGATCATATTCTCTTCAGCCGCCGCAGATTCGGAGGCTGGGATTCCCATAATTGGGTTGTCCTCTAGGATAGGGACAGCTGGTAGAGTCATTTCGGTCGACATCTCTGTGCTTCCTTTTGACCTAGTAAAGTATCCGTGCGAAGCCAGCTTACCGCAAACCAATCACTATTCTTAAAACAGCTGGACTGGACACTAGAATTTCAAACTGTTAGATTGAGGTAGATAATAAATAGGAGATCGCATGTTGGGTATGATGCACCTACGCAGTTAACGGATTTTCTATATGCTTGCCATGGTCACATGTGTCATTCCGGCATTTATTCAGAATTTCCCTTTGTTTTCTGGTTCTTATTTCCTTGTTAGCTTTCCTTTTTTTAAGAATACGGTCGAATCCTATAGAGATTGCCTATGTATCATGACATTGCATGAATCAGACCGAGCGTAGTTCATGGAAAAATGTTATGTACACAACAGAATATTTTTTTTTGGATTTTCAATTTTTATAGAGACATAAACCTTGATTACAAAAGATAACAGAATGAAAAGCAATCTTACAGACTCAAAAGGTGCGTAAAAAACGTACAGATAGACTCTTTTAAGAAAAATACATATTTATGAGTACATTAAAACTTCAAACGTTTTTGAAACTTGCGGGGCATCGTCCGACCTTGCCGCAGGCTTGCGTGCTAAACTCCCCTGGAGATAGTGAAGATCTTCCATCACTTGACGGACAAATGTCATGGCAGCAGCAAAGAACATGGATTTTGTCATGTCCTCACAATGGTTGCACTTTGTGGTAATATATTCTGCGATTGCCCATACCCTTTCCCTGATAACCCCATTTTCTTGTAATAGATGCCCAATTTGCTCGGCCCTTGCTTCTAGAGTTCGTTCGGCTACTTGATTCAGCTTTTGGAATTGCCGCAAATCTCTTTCTAATCCTGCTATTGCCGCATATCAATGCTCTCTTTCGGCTTTGAAATCCCTGGCTTGTTTGGCCATTTTGTTTTCAGCTGTGACAACCCTCTGTTTAAAACCGACGATCTCATTGCCACTTCCTTCTTTTAATTTCTCCAGTATGCGGGCTCGTTCCTCTGCACTTTTAATTAATTGCTTCCGGACCCTAGACAGTTCACCTTCCACCTTATTCAGGTCGAACCCGTATTCGATTACTTTCCGCCGCAGGTTTTCTATGAGCTTTTCATCTTTTATATTCCTAGGAGGATTTTCTGCGGCTGCCTTCATTTTATGGATTTGGGCTCGTAGGGCTTCATTTTCTTTGGTTAATACCTTCTTTTCTCCTTCACTGGCTGCAGCTTGCAAACTGTTCTCGAATTGCAATTCTTGAATTTTCTTTTTCCAGCCTTCCTAAAGTAGCCCGGTATTCATTTTCTTTTGCTAACCAGTCCCGCAGCTCTTGTGATGTCTCAGAAAATTCCTGGAGATGGGGTCTCTTTGTCGGCCTCCCAGGCTCTATATCTCTCTTGTACCAAGAAACATACCCCGGTGCAACCTCACCTTTAGATACGTCACATACTCGAGTATCGGCTGTCAAGTATTGACATTCACTCCAAATTTGGCGTACAACAGCTTCAGGGAATTGACCATTCGGGCTTATCTCAACCATATGACGGCTAATATCCTCGTCTCTGGGGATCATTTGGCATCTACCAAATTGTCTTAGTACTCTATACGGCGCATAGGGATGGATGCCCATCAAAAGGAAATGAGGTCCAGTGGCGGGCATATACACAACTTCGTCCACAGAGAGCCAACCGAATGTCCATTCTATTTGATTTGCAATGATGACCCAGAAATGCGACACCCATTCTGCGACACCCTCCGGTAATATAAAACCATCAACCCAGTTGCCAAATTCTTCTATGCAGCACTTTGTTGGCGAACCGTAATTCATGAACCGAGGCCGGTGACATATATGCTCAATCATCCATATTTGCAGCAGCAAGTTACAACCCTCGAAGAAATATCTTCCTGCTTTACAGACAGTGAGAGCACGGAAGAAGTCGGACAAGATCATTGGAGCAAGAGTACTTTTAGCTTGGGTCATTAAAGTGCTAACGACCCCTGCTATCCGTGTGTCGATGTTCCCGTCCTTTCGTGGGAATACTAAAAGACCCAAGAAAGACACCATGAATGCAAAACATCAATGCTCCTCCCACTTGAGCCGATTACCCTTGCTACAAATAAGCTTTTTGGGGTTGTATAATCCTCTGATATGGCCATACCTCTGATATATAAATTGGGGGGTGCAAAAGTCGGCCGATAAGTCAGGATTGTGAACTTTTCTACTGATTTTCAAAGAATCCAGGAATTTGTGCACAGCGAGGGCTCTGGGTGCGATCAAGTATTGGTGTCTCAAAGTGATTGTATGGGTCCCGATATGTCCGGTCATTTCCTCTAATGTCGGGGTAAGCTCACAGTCCGAGAAGTGGAAGACATTGTGTGCAGGGTCCCAGAATGTGATTAAGGCCTTTATGATGTCCCCCCTTGGGCTAATTTTCAATAAACCAGTGAGGCCTCCCATATGTGGGTTGACCCTTTTCTGCCCTGCTTCCCTGAGATCATTCCACCATAGTCGCAACTCCAAGGGAATTTTGTTCATTATCGTGCTCATTCTGCACATTTATTAGGCGAATTAGTATTCTCAAAACATTAAAACCGACATTTTATGAAATTTATTTTAAAAAAATGACCGGCTTTGCGAATACGGCCTTTCAACACTTCGGAGAGAAGGTTTTCCAGGCTGTGCTTGCTTACCAGTCAGAATAAAATTCAGAGGTGGCCATTTGTGCAAGATCAGCCTTCCGGCGTCCCTTGCGGTAACGTTTGGCTATTACCGGCAGTAATGGCATCACCACGCGNCAGGCTGTTCTTGCTTACCAGTCAGAATAAAATTCAGAGGTGGCCATTTGTGCAAGATCAGCCTTCCGGCGTCCCTTGCGGTAACGTTTGGCTATTACCGGCAGTAATGGCATCACCACGCGGACCTTTGTTTTGGCATTTTTGCAAAAGGGGTTGGATTTGGCAAAATACTTTATCAAAACCCGAAAATATTGTTGAAAAACTCCCGAATTCTTTTCCTTTTTTTTGTTTTTATTTGTTTTTGTTTGAAACATCCGACAGCATTTCGGCACTATTTTAAGCATTGGTTTTACAAGTGATTACCCTAGCACTGATATTTTTCTCAATTTATTCTCCTTGTTCACAAGCCGGTCAACATGCGAATCCAAGCAAATAAATGCACAAGTAGCACGTAAAATGCATCAGGATGGTCTTTTATTTCAGGGCACCTATCCTAGACGGACCCAACCCCTGTGTTGATCCCCTTAAGTCAAATGCATGATGCAAATAAATGTTCCTACTAGGGATCCGGCATGAGGTTTTGTTATACTAAGTTTAGAACCTCGGTATAGGGTCTAGACTGTGCACCCGAGCGGACAACTCGAGTCAAGGAGGGGTCTACGTACCGAGAACCGAAAGGCCATCCGGCTTAGTAATTTGTCCGGCCTCTTTCTTATTTCAGGGTAAGAATCTAATAGAATAGGGAGTCTCATCCGGTAAGCACATCCCCGGAGGTGAGAAGTGAAGGGTTTCGTAGCAGTTCATATACACAGTTCAGATAATATCAAAGAGGTAAAACATGTGGCATTTAGCATAGAACATGTAAGCAAATAAAAAGAATCCAAATATAACAGTAATTGTAAGCTCGAATTCTTGAACCCTGAACCAGAGGTTCTGGGTTCTGTGCCCAGCGGAGTCGCCAGAGCTGTCACACCTCCTTTTGTTACACGGCTACCCCGAAGGATAAAATGTATAAGGGATTTTTTCCAATTAAAGTGACATTATTCGAAATGGGATGATTTATTTATTAAGAGTTGCCACTTGGGATAGGTTTGGCTTTTGGTGTCCCAAGTCACCGGTTTATTTAGAATCCCAAATCGAGGAAATTTTTTCGACTGCCCAATTGGAGTCTGCGAACCAGAAATTCTTGAGTAAGGAATTCTGTTGACCCGAGGGAAGGTGTTAGGCACCCTCGGATCCCGTGGTTCTAGCACGGTCGCTTAAACTATTACAATTGGCTAAAATTCTGATATTTATACATGTTCATCCTATAGTGCAATTTTAAATTATTAACCGCTTTATTCATTTTAGAGATATTTGCAACGTTATTAAAACACGCCTCGAACCATGTCACATAAATGCACCCGGGTTTTTGACACATTTTAACATCGTTGAGACTTGGATTTGGGTCACATAAATGCACACCTGAGTTTAGGAAGATATGTTTATTAATAAATTCGCACCTATAGCAACTACGTCATTAGAAATTCGTGGAAGGCCGTGAAATTCGCTAAACAGCACTTCCAATTTTCTATGTATTTTATTAAGTTAAGGAGCCTCGCGTGGTGTTTGATTAAGTTAACGTGGCTCACTTTATTTTATAAGGGCAACCTAAAGAATATTAAGTTTTCTATTATGTATGTATCTAAGATATGTCCTAATAATTTATACATGAGTAATGCATTTGGAGGAATTCAGTACTTGTATTTTTCAGCCTCATCTGTGGCTGATTATGCGCATCGGGCTTCATTTTTATAGCAAGCCCAAGGAATATGTATTTTTATGCCACAACTGACAGCCGCCCTTCTTTTGGTTGTACCACAGTCATTAAAACTATCCACATGATCATTATAAAGTATACTGAAAGTATTTTAATAAGGAAGATGTTGAGAAGGATTTCACATTTATTTGAAGGAACAATTTGAAGTACTCATCATCGAGAGTATTTACGTGTTCAGTTGTTAAACCTCTACCACAGCTCAAATTACAACACTAAGTAAATTTGACCAGACTATCTTTAAATATACTGGAACTTAAACGAATTAAAGGCATAGTCCTGAGACAATCCATAATTAATACATGTTCATATTCATTACAACACCAAAAACACTACAAAAAAATGAATAACAGTTGTGATATGGAATTGAAATAAAAGTATTATTGTCTTCATTATCAGCCACAATCTCGAGTGTACATAGATATTATTTCTCAGCTTTTGAGTGAAGATGGATACCTGGAATTTCAGCAGAAATGAAACCTATGAGTAAGGTTAAGAAAATAGCAAGCAAAAAAAACAGCAGCTACACAACCAGCAAAACCCAGGAACTCAGGAAATTTGAGAGGCAAATTACATCAATATATCTCTAAAACAACCCAGAACTTGCATCGATTGTTAAAGAAAAATCACTCAGAAGGAACGAGTTGAAGAGAATTTTCTGAATAGTGTATGAAGGTTTAAGGTGTATTCTATTCTAATTTTCTAAAGCCTGAAGAAAAAATATTCTCGAAAAATATCCAAAGTTCTAGCGTCCCTTGAAATGATCAGATTGTTTTCTTTTATAATTGAAGCCTTAGGGCAACATCAATTTCTTTGTTTTCCTTTTAGTCCCTTATCCAATTTTCAATTTTGCCTAAATAGTCCTTGGTTTTCTGACTTGTGCCTCAAGTTTGAGGCAGAAATTATACTTAAACCCCTCACTAGAATGTTCTAGGAGTTTGTTACAAGATTCCCTATATTCAAATACCCTTAATACTCCTGTCCTTTTTCCTAATTACTGACCTAAGGGTTTTTTAACCTTGGTTCCCATTTGTTTGGTCAAATATGACCCTAGTTAGTTGTATTCGGGTTATAGGTCAAAATCAATTTCTGAACTACAGACTCAATTATGTAAAAGTAAACAACCAAAGAGTTTAAGAATTAATCAATGCAACTCATGGATTCAAGCAAGCATCTCAATGTGGATTTTACACTATTCAGTAACAAGGGATGAAACCAGTTATCACAACTTTCAGGATCATATGAATATTCATGAAAACTAAACACCTGATAGGTGGGCATGCATGTTTTTATATGTCAAAACCAGTGAACCAAAACAATCAGAAAAGGAACCCAATCAACTATGCAGGACTTATAAAAATGACCAATACTCAGCAGAGAACCAAAAGGCAAGTAATGGGTAACAGAGATTCAATACTCAGGATATACGTGAATAAAAACCCTAGAAATTAACAAGACTAGTATCAGAAGTTAAAATATTCAGAAAATTTAGCCAAACAAATGCAAATAAGAAAAGAACCATGACAGGTATAAGATTCTAAAAGGAGACGCCTACCCAGAATTTTCAAAAATAATGTAAAATAAGATCAACAAAGATGAGCATTTAACAATCATTCATAATTTTCAGAGATGAACAAATAAAATTCAGGAGACAAGGATAAGCATGAGATCAGACTACTCAGAAGATCTTGAAGGTGAAACATAGAAGACAAATGAATAGCAGGCAAGGATGACTACTCAAAACACTTTAAGATGAGAATGTAGAAAACAAGTAAAACTTAAATAAACAAAGCAATTAAACAAGAAATATATACAAAAACACAAGCATAGACAGCAATTAGAGCACAGAACACTTAGCTTTCGTGCATGCAACCCTAACTCGAAACTCTTCCAGTTCCACGATTCTCTGACCCCTTTTGAGAGGTTTTTTTAACTTCTAAGTCTTTCGCCTTGAGTATTGAAGAGGGAAAAAGGGTTCGTGGGGTTTTCGTTGATTTTGAGACAAGATGAGGTCTCAGATTTGGTTTTCCGTTGTACCCAGTTGTGTTTGAGGATTGTGGGTGGTAGGGTTGTGGAAAGGGATAGGATATGGTCATCTAGGACCAATTTGATGGGGTTCTGGTGAATTTTAGGGTTTAGGGTTAGTTTCGATTTGATAGTTGAGCCGGTCCATTAGGATTCGAAGGGTATGGTTTAGACGGTTGGAAAGAAGGAGGGGAGGTGGTTCAGGGGTGTTCTTTTGGGTTGGTTTGGGGTTGGGTCGCCGGAGACGGTGGTGCCGGCGAACCTTCTTTCGAATATTCGAGGAGTTAGGCGCTTGTTCGAAGAAAACTGACCACAGGAAGGGAAAAGAGGGTCGAGGTGGGTCGGTGGTGTAAATCTGAGGCTGTTTGGTGACCAGCCGCCGCCGTGAGGCGATTTCCGGCGGCGGCGTTAGGGTGGTTGATGGGTGGTCAACGGTGGTCTTATGGCGGTAGTGAGGTGGTGATACACCGGAGATATATGTACGAGGAAGAAGGTGTGTTTGTCTCTGAGTATACAGAGATGTTTGGACATATATATCTGAGTTTGGGCTTGGCTTCAGGGCCGTTGGATGGCCTATGATCAACGGCTATGATGATTCGCCCCCAAAACGGTGTCGTTTTGGGGCGTCTCTTTTGGACTGGGTCAGGGATCAATTGATGGGCTGGGTATGGGTCATTTTTTAGGGTTTAATGATTTGGGCCACCCAGGTCTGGCCCAATTGTGGCCAGCCTGGGTGATTTATTAGAGAATCCTTTTTTTTGTTTTGTTTTTCTTATTTATTTTTAATTCCTAATTGCATTTTAAAAAAATTCTAATTGAGCTAAATAACCTAATAATTACCCATTGTGCAAAAATAAAAATGCAACAAATAAAAATTAAACACAAAAATGCAAAACAATTAAAATGCCAGAAATGCCACTTAATTTTGTGATTTTTGTATTTGCAAAAATAACCCTAACTACCAATTAATCTAGCAAAACCATGAAATTAAAATCCTAAATGCTTGTGCAATTCTATATACTTTATGATTTTATGCATGCATTAATGAGAACACACTGACACGCGCAATTAAATCCTAAAAAATAAATATTTAAAAGGAAAAATCCTAAACTTGAGAGTCCTGTAGGAGTCATCTCAAAGGGGTAAAAATCATATGCTCACAATATTAACCCTTATAGAAAATTATCTGTAACTTACATAGCAACCTACAATAGCAGCTTACCAGCAGCAGCTTACACAACAACTTTCTTTCTATATATA